AGTCCCCTGCTGGCCTCTCATGGGTGTGTGCCAGAATAATTTTCTCAAACAGCTTGCCTAGGATCGAGGTAAGACTAACTGGCCTATAGTTTCCCGGGTCCTCCTTCCTCCCTGTTTTGAAGATGGGAACCACGTTGGCCCTCTTCCAGTCCCCCGGCACCACACCAGAGCACCACGAGTGCTCGTAAAGCCGTGCCAGGGGACCTGCAATGACCTCGGCCAGTTTCTTTAGAACTCTAGGGTGGAGATTGTCCGGACTGGCTGACTTGAATATGTCCAGTACCTCCAGAAGCTCCCTAACTAGTTCCTCACTAGTAACACCCCTTCTTAACTCCTACACACCAGGTTTGGGTTTTGGGGGGGCAATGTCATAGATTCATGTCACCTCCTCCCACCCCCCAAATGCCAGGATTGGGTCCTGGGGGCCAGGCACCACTCCCTGTGTGCCAGGATTGGGTCTCAGGAGCCTGGTGCTGCTTCCTCCCAGCTCCCCACTCTAGGATTAAGCCCTGGGGCCTAGCATCACCCCCACTGGACCCTGTATTCTGGGATTGAGTGCTGGATCCAGCATGCAGGGTCCAGGGCTCCCCAGGGTCTTGAGATTTGGCTACAAGGGAGTGGTGCCACCTCTCCACTGCTGCCACATTTCTAGACCTCATGGGGAGCCCCATGGGCTGGATGACATGGTATCACAGGCCAGATCTAGCCTGCAGCCTGGAGTTTGAGCACCCCTGGCCTAGCACATTGCCTGGCTATTATGTGAATTGCATAAGTGGAGGAGAGAACTACTTGCCACCTCCCCACATTATGTATTGCATAAGGCCTAGCATGATCTGTTCTTAATGAACCAGGGTTTGAGACAGCTGCACAGCTCTACTTTAGCTGCTAATTTGCCCAATGGGGTGAAATAATGCCTACAACCAATCAGCTCCCATTGCACAATGTATTGTGTCCCCTGGAACCATATAAACCCAGTTTCCCTGGAAGCCTTCCCCTGGTCCACCCCAAGTGATCTTCTGAACCAATCCTGCATGGGTCAGTGAAAAGGCCAGTTCATGGTGTTCAGGGAATGCAAGGGTACCCTTGGACAGCCACTTAGCTTGTCAGTCACCTGCCTAGCACCTCTCCATTTAACCTTCATTGTTATAGCATTAATCGTTTTAGGTCAGCGCCTTAAATTGTCTAGCTTTTGTTCACTTTGCAGTATCAGCAAGCTGTTGATGTTCTGTGGGATGAAGGATGGAGCAGTGCGGGTTTACCCTCTCCAGGACAAAGAACTCTCGGTGGATACCCTGGACAGATACTGGTCCTTCAACATACATGACAATGATTATGGCCAAATCCAGGGGATCTGTTCTAGTTATGATGACCGCTTTCTTGTTACCTGTGGAGCAGATGGCAACATCTTTACCTTTACTATCTTGTCCCCAGAGGACATTCAAAAAGAGCTAAGAGCCAAAGTTCCATCTCCAAGAGTAAGTGACTAAATGAAAACCTTTCAAAACTCTTCTTTACTGTGTTTTTCATGTGGGGAGGCTTACAACTTATTCTCCAAATCAAGTCCAGGTCCTTCAACATTGCACAGTTCTGTATGCTGAATAATGCTGTGCCTAAACCTTTTCTATCATGTGTCATTTATGACAGAATTTGAAGTTTTCATACAAAATTTGCAAATTTGAGTCCAGGGAAAATATCTGGTAATGCTCCTTCTGTTCTTGATGTTAAGGCTCAGGAATCCTATAGTTCAGGGATGCCAGACTGCCCCTCCTTGTGGGCTGGATCCAGAGTGCAGGGCCCCTCATTTGTCAGAGCCAGACATGATGGTGGAGTAAGCAGCAGTGATGACCATAGGGGTTAATGCATCCATAGCTCATTCCCAACTGCTGACAACCATCCCCAGTGGGGCTTTGTACCCAGTATTTCAGTGGCAGGCATCACCATCAAATGCCCAGCCCCTCTGGGAGGCCCATGGGCCAGACAACATGGCTTCACTAGCCAGATATGGCCCATGGGCTGTATATTTTACACCCCCATTTAAGTAAATTAAAAATATCACCTTGTGCATTTGCAGACTGAGAAGCACAAAGATCTGACATATTTTTTTCTGAGGGCTGTAATGGCCAAATATAAATCCACAGAATTTTAATCATGCTGTATTACAGATCAGTTTGGTGCCACTGTTTTCAGTGGTAATATTGGTCTCTTTTGGGTTGAAGGGAACATTTGAACCTAATGTTTGGTGGTTGTGGTGTTCATAATGAAAGTCTCATTTAGTTCCACAAACATCAGTCTGGCACTTTCCCTGGCCTTTTGAACACCCTTGTCAGCTGCTGAGTGTTGCTGCTTTTTTTTAAAAGAACAAATAATATTTTTGATCCACAGAGAGAACTGGAAAAGGAGAAAGCTGCCGAAGATATTGAGGATCCCAATGCCTACAGGTAGGATAGACTGGGATGAAGATAAGAGACTTTTCCATGTGCTGGTAACTCTGGGCACTGACAGAAGTGACATTTGTCATGCAGTTGGCCCCCTGAAAGTGATCTATAGCTGTGCTGTGACACATGTGCATAGCTGCAGAGTGCTTTAAAAGTGGCTGATTGTGTGACAAAATGACTCTCATCCTAATGAGGGAACAGATGAAGGTGTTCCAAAGTGGAGCGCCTTAGGGAACTTTTATCAATTGCTGCATGTGATCGGTGCTGGCCTAATGTCTGCTGATGTCTCTTTGCTTCCACCACTGAGACAGTGCCATTTCCTTTGTCCTGCATTTCCAGTATTGAGAATGCCAAGCAGAAAAAGGAATATGATCAGATAATGAAGGCCGCAGAGGACAAAAAGAATGACAAGAGGCAAAAGCTAGCTGCCCTCAAGCAGGAGTTTCTTCATTTGCTTCAGAAGAATATGGAGCTGCCAAAACACATGCAGCTACTCAGAGAGGTACGTCTGTTTTCATACAGGTCATTTATCTGTAGACTAGACTCCCATTTTTAAAAGGAACAGCATCCAGTGTGTTATAACTTTAGCCAACCTTTTCTCCCCTCATCCTACTCCAGAGCATTACAAGGTCACTGATGCACAACCCATGTGGGTTGGGTCTAGTCCCTTAAGTGCTTATATACCTAGGCCCTATATACCAGGAGCCGCAACTCACAGCTAATGCTGTGTGTCATGAGAGAAGTGTTTTCAAAGAACATGGTTCTGCACTCTGGGGTGAATATTTATGCTAATGCGCAGGCAACTCCTGCACCTGGACAAAAACATTTCTGAGAATTGTGGGTGCCATAGCTCAGTGGTTGGGATACCATGAAACGGTGTGTCTCACTTGTTTGCAGCAATTTGAAATGGACCACAGGATCTGTGAGGAGATGAATAGGCAGACAGCACAACGCATCCAGCAGGTGCAGAAAGAACTGGCTTGGGAACAGGAGAAGCATCAGATTGGATTGCAGAAATTGCAAAGTCGGTAAGTACTAGTTCTCTGTTACCTTCCTTCCTCATTAAATCTTTCAGTTTCATCTGTCTTGAGAAATGAGACTGCAACTTTATTTTTGTTTATAGAACCAAAATTTGTACATGTCATTTTTGTGACTTTCCTGTATGACTGCCTGTTTTGGATTCTTGGTGGGGAAAAAGAAAAAAACAAGGAATGCAAAGCAAGAAAATTACCTGACTGTTGATTAAGCTGTCCCTTTCTGTGGCAGCACAACTATGCTGTGAAAGAGTGCTCTGCTTCAGTTTCCCTGAATGGTGATAGCTAAGAAGCCTAGAAGAGCTGGGGGAACTTGGAGGGCTAACCTGTGGTGCTTTGGAAATCATAAAGGATGAGGTGTTATTGACATAGTCCAAGGTGGTGGGATTAATTAATGTCTGTCATAAAATTTGTCCTCATTCAGTCTGCACTTCTTTAACATACCTGCTCTATCTTAAACACATAGGAACAAGGGATAGTTATTTTAAAAACAAACTAAACCTACCTCCTGAAACAAGGCATACATTTCTTCCCATAGGGAGAGGATGATAGAACAAACACATTAGATCTGAATGGCATGTTGCTTAAGTCACGTTTCTTAATTATTGGAAGGTGGGTGGTCATAACTAGTGTGATAAGCATGGTATACAAACTATAATGGCTGATATGTCCCTTAAGTGGCTTTATCCCTAGATTTGATGAATGTCACAGGCATAGTGCTGTTACTTACTGGTTTGTATGCTCAGATATGATGACTGTGTAATAGTCATAATTAGTGTAATGAATTGTTTAGGTCATTTTGGATAGCTACATGGGCTAAGTGAAGAATATTTGATAACTTGCTTCTGCATATCTCAGACAGTAAAAATGTTATCTCCATTTTGTTTCCTCAGATTTCGGGACATGTTAGAATTTGATACTGTGGTTGTTCATGCTATGGGAAGTAATCATCAAATCTCCACATACAGGCTTCTGGCAATTTCTGAGAAATATTACAAGGTTAAAAAACAAAGTCAGGCAGGGAAAAAGAGAGTAACCAAATATGATTGGAAAGGAAAAGAAGTAGAACAAAGAAGAGAAACCCTCAAAGAGACAAGTAAGGCATGCACAAAAGCCTGAACATGTTTACATTATGTCCTTTCCATCCTTATTTTCACCTGGTTTATTTCTTTGTATAGCAACACTTCAGTACCTGTAATACCTCATCTCCAAATGCAAAAACTCGGTGGTCAAATGCAATCACATGGTATCTCTATGTTTTTTTAGTCATCACTTCATTTTCTCAGTCAACAGGTTTTCCAGTACCCTTTGTTATTAAATGTTTTTTCACATTCCGGTTGATATCCACAAAATTCCATTAACTCAAAGGGGAAAATAAGCTTGTGTTGCCTCCTTTTTTTATTGGTAATATGACATCAGTTAAGGAGACTGACTTCATTTAAACTCCACAAATTTATACTAGCTGGGTGCATCTACGTGTGCAAGTGATGCAAAGCAATACATTCAGGAGCAGTTTGAGCCAGAGTAAACTACTCCCAAGCGCAGCATCTATGCATGTGCCCAGGACAGCAGCAATTTAAGCTGGGGTGGAGAAGGCCCAGGCTAGCAAGGGACTGGGGGAGAGAGTGGGGGGTCAGCCCTAGGCTCCAGGTGGTGGCATTGGGTGGTGGAGGGGTGGCTGGGGCACAAGGGTGATGAAAGTGTGAAGTCATGTGGCTAGGTGGCAGAAAGGAGTCTGCCTCTGGCTGCCTGGGCTGACCAGGCACAATTTATGCCTGCATCTATGGTCAATGTCTACATGTGCATTTAATTGCAGTAAATTACCTCAGCATAACATAGTACTGTTCCCAACAGTACTATCTCACTGTGGTGTAAATTAGTTTACTGCAGCCTAATACTGACGCATGTGTAGATGGTGATGCTTTACTCTGCAACTAATTAGTCTACTCTGCAGTAAAGGCCACTCAGTTGGACAGACCAGTATGGTTTACAATAGCTGTGACTGGCTTGTTTATCATATATAATTTCTTAACATCTATATATCCTCTCTCTTATCTCAGTTCCAGTTGCTGGAGTTACTGAAGAGGAGATGGAGGTTGAAAAGTTGAAGAAGAAGACACAGTCGCAAACTGCAGCAGCCCGTTTACTTGAAAACCAACTTGAGAAAATCAGAAAAATTGTTGAGAAAGCTGATAAAGCCAAAGCTAAGATCATGCAGAGAAAGAACGAATGGGAAGAACTGTGAGTCATGAATCAGAAGCTGCAGTCTTTTTCATGGGTGCTCTGTATCATGAGCTGAAATAATCCTAGTTGGCTCATCTGTCTAATCCAGTGGGTCTCAAACTTTTTAGAAAAGGTATCCCTTGTTAGACACATGACACCCTCCATAATGTTTGGAGGGTTCATGGCTGCACCCCATTTTAAAAAATAATTTATTTATTACAGTGCTTACCTTGTTTGAAAGGGGAGACGCAGTTGGGGTGGGAGAGTGGCCAGTCAGAGCAGAGCCTGAGCTTGATCTTATCTGCTGATCTCAAACCTCAGTGGCACTCTTCAAAGGATCTCACAGCACCTCAGGGTGCCCTGGCATCCTGGTTGAGAATTACTGGTCTAATCTAATCATAGTATCTTTAAAAATTAAGGACCCCAAGAGGCCATCCAGTCCAACCCCTTGCTCAAGGCAAGACCATCCCTTTCCAAGCTATCCCAGTGTCTGTGCCCCTGTAAAGTTTTACATTTACATAATTCCATATTATTCTGAGGTGGAATAAATAATTCTGATCAGCTCCAAATATCAATAATGGGCCACAAAGTTTTTTGATTCTTATATTAGCCTTAGAATATTAATAGTGGCTGCTGTGTCTCGTCTTGTTAATTAATACCAGTTTGGAGGGTGAATTGACATTAGGGGTAGAAATGAAAAAACAGGGCTTTGAGTATGCAAGCTCATGAAGTCAGTGAGGCTCTGACTCTTCTTGGACCTGTAGGTTTAGACCCAATACTGCATACTGCAGCCAAGTAGAACTTCACCAAGTTTTTCCCTGAGAACGTCAGGATCACGTCCATGCACATTAACTGAGTCAGAATCTCATGATTCCCTTCCCCTGGGCTTTGATTTTGGGACATATTGCAGATGCTTGGTGCACCCCTTTTTCTTTAGGTCCTTTGCTAACTTGAATCAGGTTCACAGAATGCTATCTACTTAGCAATGCTGCATCTGGCTGCCTGCTACATCCAGGGTTCAGTCTAGGTCCTGGGAGAGCTATTTAATTTTAAAAATCCACCTCTTTCTAGACAAATTTGTTTTTCCTTTGATATGGAAGGAGATATTTTTCCCCAAGTACCTGAGGGTGATAGGTAAATTAAACATGTAGACAGAGTCTTCTGAAGAATTAATATTTTTCTAAACATTGTTTAACCCATTGCTGACTCCTAGATCAAATATCAAGCCCTATTGCACAAGGCAGGAATTTTGGACTGGATAACCTGGGAATCTTAGGCAATCTAAGACATTTTGCTTGTTTTTGGCACTCAACAGATTGAAGAGCAAACCCAGTGATAATTATGAGAACCCCAGGGATATTCAGGAGATCAAGATGGCTCAGGAAAACATGGGGGATTTCAAACTGAAGACAGCCACTAACTATAAGATCCCTGAGCACATGCGCATGAATGCAGAGAAGAAGAAGATGCAGCTTGCCTCGCTAGAAGTGGTGGTATGGGAACAGATTCCCTGGGACTGTGATTGTACCTGTTTTGGAAAGCAAAGTATAGAAACCCAG